AGCGAAGCAACGTAAAACAAGTAATTTAAATGAAACCACCGTTGATAGAGTTTAGAGATACAAAACAGTCTTTCTATTTTAATTAAGGTTATAAGAAGAAAGTTCGTTTTTATTTAAATTACAATAACCTAACTTAAGTTAAGTTAAGAAATCAAAAAGAAACCAAACCAAAGAAAAAGTCATAGAAACAGATACTCGTACATCGGTTTGTTTGTTTTATCTTCGAGTCAAAAAAGAGCAAATTAGTTATAAAGCCATCAGTAAAAGTGCACAATTTGAAAACCTTCTCGTGATAATTATCGTGATTATAGTGGAAAATAATTCAAAACGGAACTTTATGGAACAGCCATGCGGTGCCAACTTCATACCGAGGCAGTCCGATCAAAGTAAAACACGTTCACATTGAAGGAAACTGTAATAGCTCAAGGTTAAATTAAGTATTATAATCATTTTATTCATACTTGTTCAAATTGTTTCCTAATGCAGTGGGCAAGCTTCAATGATTACAATTAGAAACAATAAATTTTTGAATTAAGGAAACCATAGTAAACGACAAACTAATCAACAATCAATAAAAATTTATTTTGTCGTCTTCAAATTGCATCCTGTCCAGTGCATTAGTATCATTTCAGCGATGACCCAATTCAAAGTATGTCCTCCAGTTCTCTCAATGAATTTTCCGTTACAATTACGATTAACTCGAAACACCTTTCTCGAAATTGTAGCTTCGTTTCTTCGTTGCGAAAAACTCCTGCGATGGTTTTATACCATCGCAGAGCACTCCAAAATATAATAGCAAAAATTGCTGATGTTGCCACTCTGGGCTACATATCGTTCATTGTAAAAGAGTGTAGTGCTACCAACTGACCGAAAAAAGTGTTTCAGGAGGTTTGTTCCACGAGGTACTCGTTGTAACTTTGAGTAACAGTGTGCGTTACACCAGCAAATTTTCGAGTAAATCAGAGCATCTGAGAGAGCGTAACAACCCTGTCGAGATTTGAAAATGCTACACAGACTTTACTCGTACATTTTATTTCAAGTAAAAACTTGTGTGATGTGTGAATCAGCTGTTTTGGTTTGAGTTTAAATTTTTGTGTTGTTAATTTGCACGGCACTGGTGTTCGCACCAACTGTTCCATCAAAATCTAATTTGGCACTTTATTTGTGTTACGTTGTCAGTTTGTATTTTACTTGTATTTTACTTGAGTTTTACTACGAGTAGCTTGAGGAACACACCTAGTATGTTTTACACTGATATTTTCAGCACAAAATGTTCAAACCAATGACTATATCTCAAGTCGCTAAAAAATATATCTAGCTTTGATGAACTTTCACTATCTGTTAATAAAATTGCATATGCCCTGATAAATGTAGTACAATCGGAAGAATCAATGTCACTGCGTTATACTAAGTTCAGACATACCTTAATTTCGCAAAAATCTTAATTTCATCTTCGTTTCAGCGAAATTAAGTTGTTTTTTCCTTTCAAACTTCAGTTTTGAGATTAGAACGAAATTAAGGAATATGGCCTTAATTATAAGACATTTCCCTTTCAGTTCATTACAGCTTAATTGCCAATTGAGGTGTACTTTCAGTTCTCAGCTGGAACTATTAAACAAAAATTATTGCATCTTTGCTGTAGTGTAGAATCGTAATTACTGATATTTCAAATACCCTTGTATTATTTCAAGTTCTCTAGAATGTATGTAATGTGATTAAATAAAATTGGAAGACTATATAGAGATTATATATTGGTTAATATATGCATATAATGAATGTTAGTTCATATTAACAAGTTTAGCATATTAACGAACAAATGATTCGTTCGAGATATTAAACATATACGAGTATATATATATATACATATACATATATATATATACATATATATAGAGATTTTCACAAGCGTTGGCAAATGAAGATTCTTGTCAGATCACCGGACTCACCAAGTCAAAATTGAACGAAAATTCGTATTAGTCAGTTATTTTAACTAAAGCGGAATCAACTCAATACTATGGTACGGGTACATACAGATCCCTACGTATTAAAAAATTATAAAACTAATACATTATTTGTGTTTGGCTGAGATTTGGTGGTCAAGATTGCTATTCTAATCTAACTAACTTATAGTTTATTATGACAGTGCATGAGACCAATAACTAATTATCACATAACGCCACATATATGAAAGTTGCAACTCCTAACTAAAGCATCGTCATAACTTGATCATAGCATGACATTTCATTATTCGTTGATTTAAAGCTGTTTTAGTGAAATACTTAGTATTTCAATAAAATAAATTCATGTGTTCATTTAATCGTTCATTATATGATGATATAACATACCGCACGCAGCGCTATCATGGGAACCCGGCGTAGAGGCAGGCCAACGACAACATGGCGAAGAACAATTAATACTGAAACTGGCAAATCTTTTAACGAACTTAGACAAATTTCGCAAAATAGATATAGTTGGAAATCATTTGTTGTATCCTTCAGTTCCTAATGGAGTATCGCATAAAATCATAATAATAATATGATAAAGTTAAAAATGTCTAAGGAGCTTAGCCCTCTATAGCTTTATATCTAACAAATTCAAATTAAATTCTTAACTTTTAATAAAATAAATATACACTCAAACTTCCATAACTCGAAGTCCAATTTTGCAAAGAAAAGGTTCGACTTATGGAGACTTCGGGATAATTTTTTCATATTTTTTTTATTTTTGAAAGAAACTAGAATTACATTTTAAGATATTTATTTATTTGCAATAAAATAAAGCACAGAAATTATAGTGAAGTAAAATATTCAGAAATTGGGGTTTGGGACCTTATTTTTTTTTCTTATTTTCAATAAAAAGAGACCCCACTTTATTCATACTTTTATAGTGATCATCAGTTGTACCAACATTCGTTTGCAAATATAAATTCAAAATATTGAATGAGTCTTCTACTTCATTCATGGAATGCTGATGAACAATTACATCCACCGAACCCTATCATTACTTTCCGTTGCGCTTAGAATTGGATCCAGTAATTTAGAGCTATAGTGCTTAATAATATCGTTTTCTGTAGGAAAGCTCGATGCACAAATTGCATTGTCAAGTTCAATATAATCGTTAAGAGTAGCATTGGAATTTATTCTATTTACTTTAAACCACGTTGCCAACGACTGGCATTTGAACAAAGAAGCAGCATAAAAAAGAAAAAAATCAAACATTTGGTTTGGAAAAAGGGACCTCCCCTAACAGCAAAATGCATTTATACTTAAAACAAAAATTCGACTTATAAAATGCACTTTCCCATATTCCTATTGGCACGGAACAAAAGTTTTGTTCGAGTTATAGAGAAATTCGAGTTGTAGAAGTTTGAGTTATGGAAGCAGAATTGTATGTAATTTGCTCTCTAAAACCTTGGTGCACTGTTTTTGGTTCTAGTTATAGAGAAATACGAGTTATAGAAGTTCGAGTTATGGAAGTTTGACTATATTATAAAGAGTAAATTCCAATGATTCTCAAGTAAAGTTCAGAGATATAGCGAATACCTAATACCTAAAAGATATTAGTATGCAATATCAACTCTATTTTTTTGTAAATATTAAATGATGCGGGAGATAGATTTATAAGTTATTTGCTTAGAATGTTTGATATGATGTAGTTACAATCGTCAAATTAGATCAATTGCGCTTCAAATGGTCTGCTTAATCACTATTTTTTCAAATTTGATCCATAGCAACTACTACCCCTGCTGCCTGTAAATCTCACAACGATGCTGGAAGAAAATGAATTTTTAATGCAAACCATCCTCCACAATACATTTAACATATTAGTAACTTTATGAATACTATCTAAAATCGCATGCAGGGTTTTAAAGAAACAATATAGAATCTTAAATTTTTTTATATATTACATTAATTTATTGTTTTTTTTTTGTTATATTACATATATTAAATGTATTAAGAGATCATATATAAGTATACAATACTTCCAAAGAATTTGCAAGACAACTGAACTCAAATACGTCAAATAATATATTAACACTTTTTGTGCGTCTTCAGAATTTGGAAAGAAAAGAACTACATGTATCTGAATAGAAAATATTTTGAACTTATTTTCGATATTATTTTTCTTATTTTTTCCTTTTTTATTCTGAGAAAGAAGCGGCTGACGAAAACAAAACAAAAACTAATTTATTTAATGCGTTTTTTATACGAGAATCCGCTTTCCTTCCAGCGAAATATTACGGTCATTACCAGTAATGCCAAACGTGACGAACGCGTTTGTAGATCTTTTAACCCCGGGTCAATATGGACTTAGCGGTTGTCTTAACTTCCTCTATGTACAATTTTTGACATAAAAAAATTCATTTGAAGTTTATTAGACTTACTTTGAAATTGTTTAAATGCGTAGTTGTAAAAAATTGTTAAAATGAAAATAATTAATTAAAAGAGGCAAATTAGAGATAATGAGATTTAAAGGTGATAATAAAGTAGCATAATTACGAAGCGTAGTAAAAGAAGTTCTTAGAAAAGTATATCAAAACATATTATTTGCTCTGATTGATCCACGATTCAATCCTACCAATCCTTCAAGCTTTATGAAAGTCTCATCAATATGATGTATTTTGGTTACAAATCTCTTTACTCTTAACTAGTTCTTTAGATTTAAAAATAAGACATAATCGCAAAGGTTTAAAACTTTCCGTCCTTCTTCTTGTAAGAAGGTTCATTCAGTGCGTTCCGTTATTTGGCTTTACCTTTATCTCGAGTGTATTTGAATGGATGCATATTTTATCCCAGTAATGGATTGATGGAAAAACTTTTACTTCACTGAAGTAGGAAGTAGCGAAGATTTCAAACACTGTTTTAAAATAATCATAACATTTTTGCTAAACGTTTTTCGAGTATTCTCGTATGTATTTTTGATGTACTCGAAAATAGAAATCGAAACATTTTTAAAATAATTGTAAAAATTTAAATTTGATATAATTTCACTTTATTCAGAAATACTTTCTATATCCGGAAATCCAAATTATAAATCAGTAAATCTTACATGGGAAGTCGAGTTCGTGACACCGGCTCAAGTATTGTCTACAGACTCATCCAATATAGATACAGTGACAAATACCAGTAGTGAAGTGGAACCACCAAAAGGATTTCAAATCATTTTCTGTGAATTACAGTCAACAGGACCACAGCGGTGTCGTTCTAAGACAATTAATGGTAATCAACATCTTGAATTAAGAAATAAGAGAGGAAGGCAAAACTCGAGGCAAGTAGATGCTTAATGTAATAAATATACCAATCAAAATCTACTTTACTAATTCAAATCAACATTTTATATAATCTACATTTCTATTCTAATAATAATAATAATAATAATAACAAGTAGACGTGAAACATTTCTTTTCTAACTCCAATTCCAGACCGACTCTACACTATACAGCCACAATTAATAATCTGCGAATGGCAACCAAGTACAGTTTTCAAATAAATCCGCAACAAATATATAAAGCAGCAAAAGTTGCCAAACGATCTGAAGCTTTGGATATTGAATTCGAAAATGACGTTAACAGAGTAAACAGCACTGGTCAAACAATAGTAGTGCCCACGAAAGGATGTAAGTTGATTACTTTGCTATTTGCTGTGGTTCACTATCATATCAAATGCCTTATTAGTTTCAGCAGAAGCAACCAAATGTCTGCCACATGCTTCAGAAATCGAGGTGGAAACTGGACCCTATTTCGGTGGAAAAATTATAGTAGACGGTGGTGCTTGTAGCATAGAAGGGAGTTCGAATGACCCTAGAGAAAATTATACGATGCGTATAGACCATAAATTGTGTGGCAGCTTAATTAAACCAGAAACCAACACTGTGGAAACATTCATCACAGTTCAGGAAAATTTAGACATCTTTACACATAGTACTAGAAGGTAATTTTTAATATAATGAGAATAAAATAATATATTAATGAAAGAATTAAAATTAAAGAATTTATTACATGTATATGATCCTATTCGTCTTTACAAATGTTGATCCCCCTTTTAGACTTTTTTTAATACACAACATGTACTCGTATCTCCACTCTATACATAGAACGATATCTGTAACTAAGCTAAGAAGAGATCAAGATTTATAGAAATCATCTGAACCTTATGCTCTACTCAGAGTTACTGGATGAAACAAGAAGTTTCAAATATCTACTAAAGCAAGGACGGTACAGTATAGATACTTATATAGCATCTACTACATTGTTTAAGACTGAAAAATATCTGCAAAATTTTTCAAGTAAATACTACATATCAAGGCAAATAGGTGGTATATATGATTACGATTAAAGAAATTTTGGAATAAAGTAAAAATACAGAAGACTAAAATGTTTATTGATAAGTATTCTTAAAGCCCGCACTTTGAACAAGGTTCTTTATAAATCTTAAAGATAATATTAATTTCTTCTTTCGCATATTCGCATCTTTTTGAAAAATAAATTATTTCTGCAATTAAAATATTGCAATTATTATATTGAAGTCTATATGCACAATATCTATATTGATAATATAAAAATTATGCTTTTCAACATTACATTTGTGTCTTACAGATTCGTTGTAGTTTGTAGTTTTCAATCTGGAATGCAAACAGTTCGTGCTAGCTTCACAGTACCCGACAAAAATGGAAAAGCTTCATCCGTTGAAGAACTCGCCAACTCAGATGAAAGCGCAAGTAGAGAACCGCGTCAGATGCGTTTTGTGGATAAAAGTGCGTTAATATTGAAAGAACCAAGTAGTTCAAGTGAGAGCAAGTCTGTTCCAAAAAAAAATGAAAACTTTATGGAAGAAAACAAAAGTGCAACAAACACCAGTTCAAAAAATGTAAATGAAAAATCGGAAACAAACCAACAAATCAGAGGTCTAAAATCAAGCCCCAAAAAAAAAATTATTAATACTAAAGAAAATAAAACAGAGTTGCCAATAAAAAATATATTATCGGCAAAGTATGCAAAATTAATGACTGAACAGGATGAATACAAAGATAGTGGAGGTAAGTTTCAATATATTTGTACATGTATAATATATGTATGTATATGTATAATAAATAAGTACTTAATATATAGCCTTGATCGCACACTTGTCAAAAGTAAAGTTTATAGTAAGTTTTTAAGTAATAAATGTATGAATAAACGCATGTTTATAGAAATTGTACATACTTACGTATATTACGACAATATGTTTGTTATAAAACTATTATATATAATATTTATAATGTACATAAAAACAACATAAAAACACAATTATTATAATTATTCGTAATTTTTTTTCAGTTATGACGTCTCTAATTCATTATATATCCGTGAACTTCGGTGGTGCAATTCTTGCAGCTACACTCTTTATGGTTGCTCTGGGTACACTGATTATTGTTGTTTATCGTGAAGTGCGACTACAAAATTTGAGAGAAGTAGTAAGAGTTAGAGATCACTTTACAAACCCACAATTTCAACCAAAAACAACGCCCATCTCATTGCACCAAAAACTTCAATGTAGAATTTAGAATCTATTTTTAATTTTTCACATTTACATTTAATTAATTATATTTAATTAATTTTATTTCATAATTTTAATACGTAAGCAATCTGCCTATAATTATTTCTTTGATATAAGTGAGGGAAGGTGTATGGAACGCTCGTTGAGGATTAATAGAACATTGTTTCTTTTTAAACCTAACACTACCAAAATTAGATTAGACTATGACTTTCAAGAGTAAAAGCATTTCTACTTAATATTATTTTTATTTTTAATTAAATTATTGATAAATATTTGTCATTAAAATAAATAATAAATAATAAATAACATTTACTACTTTCTACATTGTTTGTTTTAATCAAATTAATTTTTATTAAGGTATATTGAATAATTTTATACAATTATCTCATTAAGCATTTTATGTGCTTCAACAAATTTCAAATAGAAAAAGCTGGTAATACTCGTACTTAGAGTGAAAACACTTTCAAACCCAAAAATATTATTTTTAATTTTTAATTAAGTGAATTCGATATTGTCCAATATCTAAGGGCAATGGTCTCTGGAAACATCTACTGATTAAATCTTCCTTATATTATTTTTAGACTGCAGATATCAGAAAATAAATAAATAAATAAATTTCTACAATGTGTATGTAATATTAAAACTTTAGCTAATTTTCATAATATTATTTTCATGAGTAGTGTTTGTTATCTACTTTTATTTATGCGTCATTCTTTTAAAAACGCGATGGGTTTTTGCCTCATCTCTTCCGATTTGGCTAAAAAAATTTTTATAAGCTCCTTGAATAAAATAAAAACTCCAGTATCTTCAGATTTTTTCTTAGGTGTTTTGAAAATTTGCATTTTTAACAAATTTTTGTATAACATAGACTCTGTAAATTATAATTACTGAAAGTTTTTGAAAATATTAAAGATAATTAATTGAACCTTTCAAAAATCGTTCAAACAATCAAAATGGTTTATTTATAAGTATATATATTATTTATGTATAAGTATGAATATTAAACATCAATCGAAAACTATAGATGCAGTTTGTAAAAAATTGTTCAAACTAATAATGAAATATTCAACCATTTATTTTTAATATTCAAAATCTGAAGGTCTCTATCATAAACAGAGCCTACTATAAAATATTGCTATTTACAAAAGAGTCTAAAAATCTCAATATACGAAGAGGAGATGATAAAGTCAATTTTTGTTGTAATCTGTCCCACTTATACCATTAATAGGGCCAGTGACGTCTGAGAAGTCGGCGACTGCCTCGCGCCACAGCGGCCTCACAAATAGTTGTATGTATTTCTTAAAACCTTGACTATACTTACTAGAGAAAAAATTAACTCATTCGGTATATTAAAGAATATAATTTAGAAGAAATATATATATTAGGTAGTATGTTATGATTATTTTTGTAATAATACAATGGATATGCGTTCTGGACTGTGTATTTTTCTGCTGACTGGTTATCCTTGAGTCTTGGAGTCATTCATTTTATATGAGATTATAGACTTTGAATCTCTGGCGGTTGCAATTATAAATATTACTTGCATATAACTATTTAAGTGCTTCAAACTTTATAGTATTTTTCGGGCACAACAAATACGTATAAATAGGTTAAAATGTTAGATAGTAGAATAAGCAATTTAATTAATATTCAATTTAGTTAATATTTGATAAAATTATGCAATTATAACTCTTCTTTATTTTCAATATAATTTTCTATAAACTAAAGGGAGAATGGACTATTGCAGTGATTGCATTCAATTGCAATGGGTCATTGTGTAATGTACAATCCTTACACTCTGAGCGGCTATTAAAATACGCTCTACTATTGGCAACGCCTATAACAAAAAATTATGTAATTTAAATTGACATATATGTATGTGGATTAAATTTTGTTTAAAAAAATAATTATAGACATATGTGAATTTTAAATACCATATAAATAAAGTTCAGCAGTTAAAAATTAGTAAATAACTGATTTGTACTATAACAATCTCTGCGAAGAGTATTGAAGCCTATTTATTTTAAATTTATCCAAGTCCAATTGAAGTACTTACCTATATATTCCTTAATGAAGATGTAATAGTTTGAAGAAAAACAAATATAGATACTTACCCTGAAATCTCAGAATAAATATAAAAGAAAATTTCATTTGTTTATTTCATTTTGAAATATATTTGTAAATATATATTTGCATAATTTATCAATATATATATATAATCAGATCAACTAATACAATTACTGTTAAATGACAAACTATATATTAGTATTTAATCTTATTTCTGGGCTCTAAATTACACTAGAAAAAATGTAAAATTTCTCTAAAAATGAAACAGTCAGTTGCGGTCAGGAAACTTAAAAAAATTGTGATTAAATCAAAAAACCAGAAAAATATTTATAAATCTTAGATCGTAGACAGATTATAGTCAGATCATATATAGCTTTCTTCAGGTACTCTTATGTATGTCAAACATGAGCAATTTGGCACTAATCTCTTAATAGACTAGTATATAACTTTCTTCTCAATTTTAATACTATGTAGGAAGAAAATAATACCATTTGCTTTTATTGCTAACGGTAAATAATTAATATTAAAATAATAGTCATAAATCATAATACAAAATTAACATTGCAGTATTTAATATTTCTAGTTTTAATAATGAATAAAAATAGTATAATTTGACTTACATGATATATATATATTTGTCTGTCTCTCTTTCTCTCTCACACTCTCTGTTTTTCTCTCCCTCACACAAATATATATTATATACTATATAATTTGTAAGTATAATGATATTAATAATATACATAAGAATACATATATTTATATAATATCACACCTACAAATATACAATTATAACCATCCATTTTTAAAAATTAATTTATTACAAATTATTTAAATAAAATTATTTCAAAAAAAATAAAAAATATTTATTTTTAACTGCGTTTTACCATATATTAAACTATTTTTTATAGTTTTTACAGTTTTTTATTTTTTTTATCTGTCTCATTATGTGTTATATTATTTTATTTTATATCTTTTTCTTTCATATATTTTTAAATTTATTTTGTTGATATTTATATTTTAATACTTTATTAATAATTATGAATTACTTTTATAATTCATTTATAAAAAAAATATTTTTTTTAATTTGCATTTTTTTCATTCTTTATAATTATTTTTTATCATTTTTTATTAGTAAGAAAATAACTAATTTGTTACACTTTATTTGTTATTTTAATGACTAATAACTTTTATTTTTTTTTTTTGTAAAATGTATTTAAGTAATTTTTAATTTATTTTGGCAGTTCACATATCATAATTTAATTCTAATTATATTAATCATTATATATTGATTTATTTCTTGAATTATATTATTGGTTTTAATTGATTATTATTTTATAACAACTTTTTTATGATTTATTTCTAATAAGTTATTTTTATTTTTTGTTGTTTATAAGAAAAATATTTTTTCTAAACATTTTATTTATTATTTCATACACTTGTGTTTTTTAATTTATTTAGTATATTTTATTTAAGTTAATTACAAAATTAAGGAACAGTTTTAAAATTATATAAAAACAATTATTTAAAAAATGTTGGGCTTTATTTTATTATTAATTTATAACAATTTTTTTATTATAACAATAATTTTCTATGAAATTGATATTTTTTTTTTCATATTTTTATAAGAAAATAATTCATTTTTTACAATTTATCTAATTATTTTGCCAATATTATTACTTATTATTTGATAAAAAATTAGTTGTTTTTTTAAATATTTTATTAAAATATGAAATAATATTACTTTTAATTATTTTTTTAAGTTTATTACAAATATTTTGATCCATATTGTGAACCATCTTTAGTGCAATTTATTTTTCAACCCATTTTTTTATAAAAAATTTATAAATAATTTTTATTTAATTGTTAATTTATAAAATATATTTATCTTTAATATTAAAAAATAATAAACTCTTTATTCAATTTATTTACTCTTTTTTTGCTTTTACAATCAATTTGAATTAAATGTTCAAATTTTGGCCATTTTGTATTTTAACAAATTATTCAAATAATAACAAAATTCCAATATTTTGTATTTTAAATTTAAATACTTTTAAATTTTTAAATTTAAGACCTATGTACCTAAAGATAATTTAATAATGGAGGCACATAATTTGCTCATGGGGTCCATACATATCGGAAAGACTTCGTATATCATTAAGATACCCGTTACTCGCAGAATCAAAAATGTTATTGATGTATAAATATATATAAAATATAATATATATATATTATAGTATATATATAATATATAATATACATAATATATATATACATAATATAATATATATATAATATAATATATATATAATATAGTATATATATAATATATATATAAAATATAAATTATGGGTGTGGTTTACAAGAATTTTGCTATAATAAAACAATAATTTTTATTGGAACTGCTTGTAAAAAAGGAAAGCATCTACAATATTGTACAGACTAAATTTTATAATATTAACAATAATCGAAATCTACAATATATACAAAGTGTAGGGAAGAAGTGCATATATTAAAAATGTTAGAATTTATGCCATTTCCGCAACTGATCAATATGTAAATGTACATATAATATAAAATAAAGCATAAAATAACACTTTAGAAATTACATTAATTATAAAAAAATATATAAAGCATTATTATATATAATATATAAATGGTTTGTATTAATTTTAGGCTAACATTTTGGTAAATTTGTAGCAGTGCCGCCGGTGTCGAAGTGTTGCATCAACAGTTGTTGCAGATTGACCCGCAGTGCGCGCTCCTCATTGATTTGCAATTTAATTTGCGACATGTCGTGCTGCATCTGCCGTATCGCGGTCCACAACTGCCGTAGGGTTGGAGTCATGTCCTCATTTTCCAAACCTAATTAGTTTTATTGGTCAGTTAATTAGTTGATTAGTTGAGTGGTTGAGTGGTTGTTTTTTAAATTGATAGGTTCGTTGGTTAATTAGTTGGATACATTGTTTTAGATAGTTTCAGTTTGTAATTCAATTTTTTTGTTTGAATGTTATTTGCGAATTTGAAAAGAGAAAAAAAAATTAAAGAAAAACTGTGGTTTGCTTTTTTTCTTGCTTAAATTTTCCATATTAATCTACTTAAATTAACATACAAAAATAAAAGAAATAAAAAAGTTATACGTACT